ATCCATCTATCATCTATCCATCCATCCATCTATCATCTATCCATCCATCCATCCATCTTCCATCTATCTATCATCCATCTATCATCCATCCATCTATCCATCCATCCATCTATCCATCCATCCACCCATCTATCATCTATCCATCCATCCATCTATCTATCCATCCATCCATCTATCCATCTATCTGTCATCTATCTATCATCCATCTATCCATCCATCCATCATCCATCCATCCATCCACCCATTTATCATCCATCCATCCATCCATCCATCCATCTATCATCCATCCATCCATGCATCCATCTATCTATCATCCATCTATCCATCCATGCATCCATCTATCATCCATCTATCCATCCATCCATCCATCCATCCATCTATCAATCCATCCATCCATCCATCCATCCATCCATCATCCATCCATCTATCTATCCATCCATCTATCATCCATCTATCCATCTATCATCCATCTCCATCTATCATCTATCCATCCATCTATCATCCATCCATCTATCACCCATCCATCTATCACCCATCCATCCATCATCTATCCATCCATCCATCTGTCCATCCATCCATCCATCTATCATCCATCCTATCCATCATTTCATACCTATCCATCCATCTATCCATCCATCCATCCATCCATCCATCCATCATTTCTAAGTCATTTAGACTCATTTAAACTTCAATTCTACCAAATTTTTGTATCGTCTGTCTATCATTTTAATATTTAGAACTGTTTCAAACTTCAAACTTTCAGGTAGGGCTGTGCGGTATTGAAGAAAATGTGATATGTGATACCTTGTTAAAAATTTGATATTCAATAAACGATATGATATTGCTTTAAGTGTGCAAAATCAATTTAAGTTATATTTTAAAATATTTAAAAATGAAAATGTTTATTTTTTGTCAGACAGCAAGACAGGATGGCAAGTAGATGTTTTCTGTAACTTATTGCACTTAATAACTCTTTTTAACGTCAACCAAGTCTGGCACGTGCCCAGTCTATTCTCTGCTATATGCGTTGACCTAAAACTTTTGACTTTTTGCAACATTTTATTAAATGATTCATTTTATCTATTAAAATTATTCAGATTATTCAGCCTATTATTAAAATGATTCAGATATTGCAATGCCATTGCGATATGCATATCACAATATTTACATTTGTGATATTTCGATAATTTTATTATATCGTGCAGCCCTACTTTCAGGCTAGCCAACATTAAGTTTGTCTTGACGAACTTCATCTAGTTCTCTGGGAAGAATCATCTAAATGTGTTAAATCATCTAAATTAACAACATGATCTATTACTCTGAAGCTGCTTTGAATTGATCGATATTGTGTATAAACAGCGTGTAACTGAGTCCATCCTAAAGAGCGGGGCTCACTGTTACCAGCTATAATTATCATGTGGCGTATCAATAACAATGACTCAGGGTTTGTGGGAAAGTGAATGTCAAAGCAGCTTTGTGGGCTAATACAGATCAGGATTACAGTGAATGTACTGGGAACCTTGTTTAAATCTAGAAACACTGGATTACAGACACGTGTCTCGAGGCTAAACGAGTCGAGGCCGAACCTGACGTGCAGCAGTTTGGCCGTCTGGACGAAGCAGGACTGATCCGTCTCCTTCAGCACCTCTTGAGCATATCCCACAAGGCCACTGTTCTCCAGCATGCCCTGGTACTCCTCCACCTGCACCCGCAGACGCTCCACCCGCAGACTCCGGCTCTGCTCGATGGAGCGCAGCATCTCCGTCCTCCGCTCCTGAAGCGTCTCGAAGAGATGCTCGAAGTGTTCGCTGGCGCGTCTCTCGGCGAGCTGCCCGTTCTCCTGCGTTCAGCACATGCACATGCAGGGGCAGCACATGCAAAGCATGCAATGACTGGCAACTTTAACATTTGAAAGGATACTATGGCAAAGTTATTGCTTTCTTTGAATGAAAGCTGTATCATACACTTGGAAAATTATGAGCTATATCACTGCTTATCGACACTAGGGGTGTGACAATACACTTAGCTCACAACATGAGACAAAATACAGATACTTGGTTCACTAGAACAAGACAATATTTTAATACTGTTTTAAAGAAATTTTCAATGACAAAATTTGTCTTTTAATTACAAAAAGTAAAACAAAGCAGTTGTATTTAGAAATATTTTAACTAATCTAGGGCTGTAACTAATGATTATTTTGGTAATCAAGTAATCTACTGATTATTTTGA